GCTCAGCCCAAAGGGATTTGCCCGAGGTCGTCGGTCTGGGGGAGTGACACCAACCTCTACTTAATCACTGCTTTTGGTAAAATACAATTTCTTTAGTACAGTTGCTTCCTAATGCACTGAATTACAGTGCTTGTTACAGCTCCTGTACTGGGCAGTAAATAATTCTGATTGAGATATTTGTCCTTAATCATTATCACAATAAATCCTAGATATGTATTTATATAAATAAATCTGGTTTGTGGTCCAGATCCCTGGGATGTCACCGTGTCACCGCCTGGGACATCCCAGCTGGGCATTGCTCAGTGTGTGCTGAGCATAAAACCTCTCTCTTTTTATTTTTTAAAACTTTCTTTTCATTACAATTATTGATAATGTGGTGACCACGTGTAATTATTATTATTTTTATACTTTTTGCTTTGTTTCAATTATTACTTTTTTTCTTATCTCTGCTGACAGATTCTGGGTGTTTTAATGTGGATTTAAAAGATCCACACAGGTGTTTTTAATGTGGATTTAAAACATCCACATGGATGTTTTTCACGTGGATTTAAAACATCCACATGAATGTTTTTTATGTGGATTTAAAACATCCACGCAGGTGTTTTAATGTGCATAGCCATGAAATAATTAATAAATCATTTAAAATGCTGTTCAATTATCAATTTGTGGTATCCAGGAGGGGGAAAAAAAAACCAAAAAACAAAAATCAACTTACTAGCAGTCTGCTCGTGGAACTCCTTCCCACCTCCCCCCTCCCCGCCCCTCTTCTCCTCCTTTGGCGCCCCCTCCCCAAATCTTGATTTCGGGGGTCCCAGTCCCCTTCCCCTCTCAGTTTGGGGGGACCCACCCCCCTCCCCCTTTCCCCACTTTTTGGGGCTCTGCCGGTGTGGGTGGGGGGTCTCTGTGGAATGATAAAGAGATTTGGGGAGGATTCTTTTTTGGGGGGGAGGGGTCCACCCCAAGCCCCCCAAACGACCCCCCAGGGACACACCCCCAGCCTCAGGAGGACCCCCCTCCCGACCTCCAGGGTTCGGGATCCGGATGGATTCGGGAAGGGGGGGGGGGGAATCTGGGGGGTCCTTGAGGGGTCTCGCGGGGGGAATTTGGGGGGTCCTTGGGGGGGCTCCTGGGGGGCTCCCGGCTCGGAGCGAACGCCGCAACCAATGGGAAGGCAGGGATTCCTGACGGACAGCCAAGCGAGCCAATGGAAGGGCGTTTATCTCAAAAAGTCCCGCCCATGCCGCGCTCCAGCAAATGAGAAGCGAGGAAGGTGATGACGGACAGCAGGAAAAGCCAATGGAAAGCGATGACCCGCCCCCGGGGCGGATTGCTCTCTCTGAGTGGCGGGGGCAGCGCGCAGACCCGGAAGTGGGGGCGCCGGGCGGGCGGGCGGTGAGTGGGGG